TCTCTCTTGGTCCCCTTCCCATTTGCAAAAGATCCATCTCTCTCATTCCTATTACCTATCTTTTATTTTGTTCTTTATACTTTGGATTTCTGATATAAGTGAAACCATGCAATATTTAAGCTGTGTATCTGCTTTATTTCACTTAACATTATGATCTCAGGATGCATCCATTTTCCTACAGATGATTTAAGTTTATCCTTCTTTATCCCAAAGTAGTACTCCATTGTTTATAAATGCCATATTTTCTTTATCCATTCATAGGCCACTCTAAGATTTAGCTATTATGAATCATGCCACTATAAACATGGGTGTGTTGTATTACTGTAATATGATGTCTTGGACTCTTTAGGGAAGAGGGCCAGGGATTTAGCTCAGTGGTACCATGCCTGCCTTGCAAGTGTAAGGTCCTAGGTTTGATCCCTGGTACCAGAAAAAAAAAAAAAACTCTTTAGGGAAGAGACCTAGAAGGGGATAGCTGAGTCAAGAGGAATTTGTTTAGCTTTTTTTTTTTAGCTACCGGGTATCAAACTCAGGTCCTTGCGCTTGCGCAGCAGGGGACGAAACCACTGAGCTAAATCCCCAGCCAGAATTTGTTTAGCTTTTTGAGAATCCTCCATACCTGATTTCCACAGTGATTGTACTAGTTTACATTCCCACCAATGATGTAGAAGGGTTTCTTTTTCCCTGCAGCCTTGCCAGCATTTGTTATTGTTTGATTTCTTGATGATACCCATTCTTTCTGGAGTGAGATGGAATCTCAACATTGTTTTTTTTGGTACCGGAGATCGAACTCAGGACCTTGAGCTTGCAAGGCAGGCAACGGAACCACTGAGCTAAATCCCCAGCCCCTAGAAGCTTTTAATTTTTATGTGATCCCATTTGGTGTTATTTCTTGTGCAACTGTGGTTCTGTTCAGAAAGTTCTTGCCTATGCCTATGTCTTCAAGAGTTTTACTGGGGCCAGGGATTTAGCTCAGTGGTTTCGCTGCCTGCTGCGAAAGTGCAAGGACCCGAGTTTGATCCCTGGTACCAAAAAAAAAGAGTTTTACTTATTTTATCTTCCAGCAAATTGTTTCTGTTTCAACATTCAGATCTTTGATCTACTGATTTTAGTTTAGTGCGTGGTGAGACATACGAGTCTACATTCAGTCTCCTGCATGTGGGCAGTTTTCCCAGCACCATTTGCTAAAGAGGCGCTCTTTCCTCTGGTTTATGTTTTTGGACCTTTGTCAAAGATCAGATAGTGGAATGTGCCTGGGATTGTTTCTGCATCCTCTATTTGGTTCCAGTGATCCACAAGTCTGTTTTTATGCCAATTAAGATCATTTTCCCCAAGATGTAAGAAGGTAATGGAAGTTTATCTGCTTTTTTTCTTTCCACGCCCGTAAGCTCACATAGCCTGGAAATGTTCATGTTCTTCATGATCTAGAGGGCCTGGGGCGTCTGTGAGATTCTCCATTTCACTTGTGCACGCTTTCTGTACAGTTTCCCACAGCAGTCAGCCCGTCATTCCATCTGAAGAGATGCCCCTTATTCCTGCCTTTCCCTCTCCACCTCGCCTTTCCCCGTCTCCTCCCCTCCTCGCAGTAACTCCTCATCACCTCCAAGGTACAGCCTGGCCAGGAGCATTTTAACGTCCACGGTTCTGGCCACCGTGTGCTGCAGGAATCTGTTTCATCCCAGTTTGGAAGAAGTCTTGCTGGAAACTCGTCCACCTTCCTGTAGCTCATCCTGCTTCCTAAAGCAGGTTGGCGCAGCGACTACAATGGAAGGCCGAGGGCGCAGAAGCCAGCAGGACTGGACCAGATGTTCCATTAAGTGTAATGCCCATGGTGTGACTGGTGCTGCGGTGCACGCCTGTAATCCCAGGACTCAGGAGATGAGGCAGGACCATTGTGAGTCTGAGGCCAGCCGGGGCCACTTAGTGAGACCCTCTGTCTCAAAAAAGTCAAACCAAAACCATAACAAATAGGCAAAAACCTAGCTGCAGACCATACAAAAATGTCTCAGTATGCCTATGTGCTAATAAAATTTTTTTAAAAAGTAGAGCTGGGTGTGGTGGCACACACCTCTAATCCCACCACTCCAGAGGCTGGGGCTGGTGGACCACGAGTTCAAGACCAGTCTGGGACACCATAGTTACCCACTAGTTAGAGCCGTCGATTGGTTCCCAGTCTCCTCAGCAGAAGGTGGCTTCCTCCACAGAGTCCCTCGTTTCTCTCCTCCTGGACAGGGATGGGGTTATCCTGTTGAAGGAGGAGAAGCTCGAATAAAGAGTCTGGGCCTGTTCTAGTCAGGAGAATCCCAGAGAAGATCCGGAATCCTGGTGGACTACCCAAGGTGCCCTCACTGAGCCCTTCCCGTGGGCCCCAGGGACCGTGAGGCATGAATGAGTGATCCTTGCCTTGAAGGATGCTCAGAAGAGACAGGGTGTGGACAAATGATGATTCTGTTAGGGGAAGATAGTGGGAATATGTCCAGATTCCTGAGGAGACCGGGAAGAACAGCTTTGAGGGGAAGCAGGGAAAATTTCCCAGGGTGCTCCAGGGGGTCACGGGGGATGAGTAATCCTTCCTGTCAGCTAGGGAGGGGGCGGCTCGTGGGAAGTCGTGGCACAGCGAGGGAGCGGGGTACAGAGCTCTTGGGGAGTGAGGGTCAGGAGATGGGCTGGCCGGGTGCGAGGCCAGCCCCTGGGACCTGTTGCTGCTGCAGACCCGGAGTTTCCTCCTGGAGGGTGGAGGATGGTGCGGAGCAGCTACTCAGCTTGTGTTTTTCAGGACAGGTAGAGGGGGAAACTGAGGCCATGGGAAAACCATAGCAGTGGTCCAGGCAAGTTGTGAGGATTTTGGTGAAGTCAGTGGGTATCAGTGAGAACAAAAGGAGGAAGCAGTGCGAGCCACACCCAGAAGATGCTTGGTGGGATTAGTGACTGGCCCAATGCCGTAAGGTGCCAATGGTGCCAGCGTTTAGGAGGCACTTGCTTTAAGGTCTTGCAAATGCCAACTTGGAACAAGAAAGCATCAGTCTGCGTCAGATCAGAGCTGGGCATGTGGGGCACTCCTGGAATCCCAGCTACTGGGAGGCTGAGGCAGGAGGGTCGCAGGTGCCAGCCTAGCACCTTAAGGGAAGCTTGTCTCAAAAAAGAGAAGATAAAAGGGCTGGGGGTGCAGCTTAGTGGTAGAGCTCTGCCCCAGCACGTGTGAGGCCGGCTTCAACCCCCAGCACCACGAGAAACTAAAATGATGAGCTATGCGGGCGAGCTGGCGACGGGGCTGAGGAGAGGCCGTCGGCCAGGGCCACAGGAGGCTGCAGTGCCCGGGAGGATGGCCAGTGGCTCGGAGACCCCGCCTTTTCCACGGCCTCTGACGCGCCCTGGGGCCCGCATGGGCCGCTGTCCTGGCTCAGCAGTGTCTGCCCGCACCCTCCTTACTCAGCACTGAGCCCCCCTCCTGCTCTGTCCCCCGATGAGGGGTGAGGCAGCTGCTCCTTCCCCCCAGCACCACCCTCTGCTCAGAGAGTCCTTGGGCGGTCACCCGGTCCCCCCGGGAAGCATCCCAGTGGGGCGGCAGCCAGCTGCTTCCCAAGCTCAAGGAGAGGGCGGCCTTCCAGGAGGGAAGCCTGCGGTGGAATCAGAGGGCGGCTGGCTCCCTGGCTCCCGTGGCTCCCAGCCCACTTACTGGCAGTGGTGATAATGCATTTTGTAAAGTCGTCATTGACACAAATCCAAGCTGGGTGTGGGGTGCACTCTGGGAGGCTGGGGCAGGAGAATTCTGAGTATGAGCCCCGCCTGGGTTACTCAGCAATTTATCAAGTCCCTGTCTCAAAAAAAAAAAAAAGACTCTAGAGATGTAGCTCAGTGTGAAGGTCCTGGGTTCAATCCCAGTACTGAGAAGAAAAAAAATACAGAAACCCATTATCATTACAACTTCCGATTCCAGAAGCATCTACTGAGTGCCAGACGCCCACTGGGACTTTGGCAGAGCAGAGGCCTCCCACAATGAGTGTGGGCCTGGGTTCAAATCCACCTCTTTGTTACTCACTAGCTGCATGGCCTTAGGCTAGTTGTTCTCAGTGTCTTCTTTTGTTAAATGTGCAGAGAAATTGTCCTCTCTCTTAGGGCAGGATGGATGGAGGCCTTGGCTGTTCAGGGCTTAGTTTAGCACCTCAGGGTGCTCTGGGAAACGCTTTCGAGTCACTCTAGAAGGAAGGCTGCAGTGCTTCCGGACTACCTCTTGGGAGGCGAGGGCCAAATGTGTGGCCGCCCGCCCAGCGGGTGCAGCCCATGCCCTTCAGGCTGCCTGCAGCGTTCCTGCTGCCTCTGGGCCTCCTTTGCTGCCTCTCGATGCACAGTCTCTTCCTTTGGCTTTCCTTTTGCTTTCCACTGGGCCAAAGATGAGCCCTTTCCTGCTGCCCAGGTAGAGCTGTCTTCCTGTCTGCAGAGCCGGGAGCTGCTGCTCGCCAGGGCCGGGCTGCCCTCTGACTCTGACCTCCGCTCCTGAACCCAGGAGCACCAGGTTACGAGTTACAGTGCCACCCACTCTCAGGCAGGCTGGAGCTGACCTTTCCTGTGTGTCCAAAGCCAGCAGATCAGATGCCCTCAGTTCCCCAGGGGCGCCTGCTCTGGCTCCCGAGGGGCCTGTCCACGATGGGAGCCTTGTGCTGCCCTTTGCTTCTGCCGGAGGGGAAAACTCCCTGCTCACCAGGGCCATGCCTAGGCCCTACCTGGGGCACCTCTCCCCTCCCTCCTAGAAGGCCTTTCCCAAAGCAGAGGAGCAAAACCTCCCAAGCTGGGAATGCTGGCCCTTGGCCACCCTCTGACCGCCTCTGTGTCCCTAGGCCATGGAGAGCAAGCTGCTCATTGGGGGCAGGAACATCATGGATCACACCAACGAGCAGCAGAAGATGTTGGAACTGAAGAGGCAAGAGATTGCCGAGCAGGTATTTCAGGTCCCCTTGGGGCACCTGGCCGGAGAGGGCCCTCAGGGTCACAGACTTGGGGTCCTTGCAGCCACAGTGCTGAGTGGCACTCTGGGCCTGTCCGTCTCCCAGCCCCAGGTCCTCCCTCAGGCAGCAGCACTGCTACTGTGAGTGGGAGGAAACACAGCTCTCCGTGACATCAGCCCCCACCAGGGACCAGGTCCTGACTCCTGGGCCTTCCTTCCACAAGGGTGCGGACTGTATGACTGTTTCCTAAACAAGAAACAGTGAAGAAACAAGCTAGGCGTGGTGGCGCACGCCTGTAATCCCAGCACTCGGGAGGCTGAGGCAGGAGGGTTGCTGCAAGTTTGAGGCCAGCCTGGGCTCCATAGTGAGTTCAGGGCCAGCCTGGACTATAAAGCAAGACCCTGCCTCAAACAAACAACAAAAAAAGAAACAGGAATTGTCAGTTTCCAGTCACCTGTAACACCAGGTGGGGAGCAGGGGCAGTGGGGAGGCTGGTGTGTGGGCATCCACAGTCTGGCCAGCTCCTCCATGGCATAGTGCCTGGCAGAGACCCGGCCAGCGGAACTGAGAGGTGACTTCCGCGTCCGCCACCCCAGGCCACAGGGAAGCCGCGTCCGCCACCCCAGGCCACAGGGAAGCCAGGTCGCACGACAGATAGAGCAGCTGGCCCGGGTGCCCTTGGCCCTCTCCCGGCAGGGCCGGGTCACTAGGTCTCCATGCCCTGCTTTGGCCTAGAAACGCCGCGAACGGGAAATGCAGCAGGAGATGCTGCTCCGCGATGAGGAGACCATGGAGCTCCGAGGCACCTACACGTCCCTGCAGCAGGAGGTGGAGGTCAAGACCAAGAAACTCAAGAAGGTAAGGAGCCGTGGGTGGCCCTCGGGGTCTGTGCTTCAAGACCCAACCCCACTGAAGCCTGAGCTTCCTGGGCCGGCAGGAAACGGCAGGTGGAGGGAGGAGCAGGGGCAGGAGGGTGCTGTCGGGCAGCACTGAGCCTTTCTCTTGGGCCGAGGGGGCCCAGGGGCTGGAAGCTGTCCCTTCCGTTCTTGAGCGTTGCCCCGTCCTGGCGCTGAGAGCTCCTTCCCCGCTTCTCACGTCACCCATAAGTCACAGGCTCGATAGCAGGGAATGCAGGGAGGCCTGAGAAAGAGACTCAAGCTTGGGGAGCCCAGGAAGGAGAGGAAGACCCTCCACCGTGTCAAGGGACAAGAATCTCGGGGTCCCCAGGACCTGCAGACCCTGGCAGGGGAAAGACATGCCCAGGAGAGGAGGTTTCCAGCGGGAAGCAGCGAGTTCTAGCCATGATGGAGGAACCTGAGGTGGCTCCCTGGGACTGTCTGGGCTGAGGCCCAGCCACCTGGGCAGTCACCGTGGCCGCTGCTCAGCGCGCTGTGAGTGGGCCGGCAGGCCAGTACTGACCGCCACACCCCCGCCTTTGGGAACCCTGGAGAGGCAGGAGTGGGGCGGGTCACCTTCCGGTTCAGCAGTCCTCCAACCCCAACCTGGGTCTCCCGGCTCCAGCTCTGCTCTGCGGATTAGTTATTGCCGGCCTGTGCCTCAGCTTCCTCGTCTGTAGAAACAGGGCGTTGGACCAAAAGGTCCCGCCCAGTTGGAGCCTCCTGCGATGTCGATGATAGCTGCTGAGAGAGCCGCCTCCGCGGAGGGGACAGAGCAGCCCTTTACGTGGCTCTCCCTTCAGGGCTGGGGGCGGCTCTGGAGGGTTCAGGCCGGGACCCCCAGACCCACCGTGGGTTGAGCCTGTGGGCCCTGAGCCTGCAGCCCCCAGGGCCCAGGCGTCGCTGCCACACCGGCAGCCTCTGAGGCGGCCTTGTCCCCACCAGCTCTACGCCAAGCTGCAGGCGGTGAAGGCAGAGATCCAGGACCAGCACGACGAGTACATCCGCGTGCGGCAGGACCTGGAGGAGGCGCAGAACGAGCAGACCCGGGAACTCAAGCTCAAGTAGGGCCCGCTCCTCCTCCAGGCCGAGGGCCCCGCAGCCTTGGGGCTCCCCGATCGACTCCTCTCCTTCCTGCAGGCCGGGGAACCCCTACGTCTTAGGGATAAAATGGGTCTGAGGAGGAAGGACAGCCCCGATTCTGGAGTTCCTACTTCCTTCGCCTGAATTTGATGAACCCCCTTGAAGTGGATGTTGGGTGCCAGCCAAAAGTCCCCCAAAGGCAGTGGTTTTCAAGCTACAGGGAGGGACTTCTTCCCCCGATGTTCTGGGCTGCTTCTACCCCTTCAGCCTTTTCGTGCACCAGTGGGGTCTCTCACTCCCTCCAACCCCGTCTCGGCCCATTCCTGTTCCAGGTACCTGATCATAGAGAACTTCATCCCCCCCGAGGAGAAGAACAAGATCATGAACCGGCTCTTCCTGGACTATGAGGAGGAGCAGTGGCGATTCCAGCCGCTGGTACCACCTGGAGTGTGAGTCTGCCAGGGGGCTGGGCTGGGGCTCGGAAGCCACTCGAGTGGGGGTGGGCGGCAGTCCCAGGCCCCGCCTGCAGCGAGGCCGATGTTTTTGATCAAGAAGGGATGGGGCAAGGGAGGCTGCCGATGGAGGATGGATTTCTCAGGACCTAATTTGAAGGAGTCTCATGAAGAAAGGGTGTTCTGAAGAAAAAAACAGTATCTACTGGTCCGAAATGCCAAAGCGCCCCATAAGAGGACAGGGGGAGGGGGCATCGCAGGCTCTTGACAGTCCCAGTAAGGCCAACATCTGGCCACTTCCGGTGAATACTCATTTGTCGAGTGCCAGAAATAGCAACTACCGTTCCTATTTGCCAAGCACTGGTTGTGTCAGGCGCGGTGCAAGACTGCAGACAGAAGATAAATCAGACACGGGGAAATACAGAAAAGTAGTCAGATCATGACATGAGAGAGACATGGTCCAATCATTACACAATCATTACACACTGAGCAGGGTGATTCAGCGTTTCCACCTGTTTCCACCTTCCAGCCCTTGGGCGCTGGTGCGTCCATTGGCCGGGTGTGCAGCGCACCCTGCTGGTGACAGTGAAGAAAAGGCTGCGTACTCCAGACCGGTAGAGGAACTCAAATCTGTATGCAACCCTGAAGGGACAGCACCTTCTGGGTATTCTTTGCCCTGCCGTAGGAGTAGTACTGCGAGGTGGGACCAGAGCCTCCCAGAGCTGGGGTGGGAAGCTAACGATAGGTCTGTAGCTTCTCATTGGAGCATCAGATGCCTTTTCTAATTTCTTTTTTTGTTTGTTTTTTTTGTTTTTTTGGTACCGGGGATCAAACTCGGGACCTTGTGCTTGTGAGGCAGGCGGCAGAACCACTGAGCTAAATTCCCGGCCCTACCTGTTCTAATTTCTGAAAGGTCGATCCTTTCGCTTACAACCTAAGTCCACAAGTCAAGGACTTTTCAGCGGTGTCCCTTTGGTTTACAGTACAACTGTTTTCTTCTTCTGGTTCTAGGGATTCAACCCAGGACCTTTGCACTGAGCTACACCTCCAGTTCTTTACTTTTTCTTTTGATATAAGATCTTTTTTTTTTTTTTGGTATCGGGGATCGAACTCAGGACCTTGCGCCTGCGAGGCAGGGAGCAGCACCGTTTTGATATAAGGTCTTGCTAAAATTGGCCAGGCTGGGCTCGAACTTGCAGTCCTCCTTCCTCAGCATCTCAGAGTGCTGGGATAACAGGTGTGTGTGGCTTCTTTTGTAAGTGTGTGTGTGTGTGTGTGTGTGTGTG